AGAGAAAATTTCCTGTTACATGGAAGTGCTCTAACAATCATTAGCTCGCTTCTTGGTACACGCAATTTAAACGCTGAGTAACGTTGCGAGTCCGCCCTTTATGAAATGGGGCCGGCGACACCCAAGCAATGCACGGGTTTTCAACAGCTTCTGCTGGGTAAGCCAGAAGCACCTGTCCATGGCAGAGCCAACGCCCGATCCCATCTCAGCGTGCGACCATACCAGTGAGACTGGTCCGAGTTACGAGGCATGGCGCTGTGTGCACACTACACCCGGCGAGGCACGCTGCACGCGCCACCGCCACCGGCCCATTGTGAGCGCACGGGTGATGTGGCGTGACAGGAGCTGCAGCCGGCAGCCGGCCGTGGGGTCGCCATCACCAGACCAGGGCAAGGGCGGGTCACCAGACCAGGGCAGCGACGGGTCACCAGGCCGGGGCAGCGGCGTGTCACCAGACCGGGGCAGTGGCGAGTCATCAGACCGGGGCGGGGCGGGTCACCAGACTACGGCAGTGGCGGGTCACCAGACCAGGGAACGGCGGGTCATCAGACCAGGGGAACGGAAGGTCACCAGACCAGGGCGGGGGCGGGTCACCAGACTGGGGGAACGGAGGTTCACCAGAACAGGGCAGCGGCGGGTCACCAGACTGGGGGAACGGAAGGTCACCAGAACAGGGCAGAGGGGGGTGGCCAGACCAGGGCAGCGGTGGGTCACCAGACCAGGTGATCAACGGACCACCAGGCTTGAGTTAGAGCCACAGGGATGGGGGAGAGGGATGGGGAGGGGAGAGGAGAGCCGCCTCCACAGTTGCCTTTGGCCCATAGCCATGTAATCATCCTGAGCGCCGCGCCAGCAGCGGCCGGGCCGCGGCCCGTAAGCGCGCACGTTGCGCCATCGTCCACAACTGTCGGCCCATCGCTCAGCCCGCTCCCGACCGCCGTAATCCTCGTGCAGAGCCGCCGCCGAGCGGCGCCTGCTCTCAATGCACGCCGGCGGCGGGCGCGGGGGAGGCGGCGACGGGCGCAGGTATTTCGGGCCGGCTCTGTGGTAACCGGCGACCGTGCAGGGGCGGCGGCAGCCCGCGCTGCAGCCGCCGCCGCCACGCACCATTCATGAGTCAGCCGGCCAAGGAAGCGGAACCGGCCCGACGGCGCCCATCACGGCTGACGGCGGCGGCAGCGGCCGGCGCTGGGCGGGCCCTGTGCCGGCGAACCTGGACCGCCCGGCCGGCCGGCTGCCGGTTATGCGGCGGCCGGGCGAGGCCGTTGCTCTCGGTACAGTCTCTGCGGGCAGGCGGCGGCGGCGCGCTGCCGGAGACGGTACGGCCGGCGGCTCGGCTCGGCGGCCGGGCCGCGCGCCGCTGCCACCGCCGCCGCCGCTGCCGCCGGAAGCCAGCTGATGACCCGTCCGGTCTCGCCGGCCGGACACCGGACACGGTGAGAACGCGCTGCCACCGGTCGGCCCTACTGCAGGTGTGGGCGGCGGCTGCCGGCCCATGAGCCGTCCACCGCCGCCGCTAGCTCATGGCGCCTGCGCGGCCAGCCGCCGACAGCGGTAGCTTATGACGTACTGCGCGGCCAGCGGAAACCAGCAAGGCCAACGACGGCCGCATGCGTCAACTGTGCCCACTTAGAAGACGCCTAGCATGAGCAATCCATTCCGACTAGGCTGATTCAGAAAAGAGGCGAATAACACCTGCTAACCAAAAATAATAATAATGATGGGCAAAAAGTAACAAAGCTAGCTTGATCCGGCCATAGAACATCCCGCTCGTATGCAAAGAATAGAGCAGAGCACTGCATACGTACCGAAGATCGTCAAAATTCTTTGGTATTTAGTATTCAGCAACTGTCATGAGGCTATCTGAGCGACACAGTACAGAGGCCGTCCGTCAGCGTACAGTACGCATCCAGACGACACAGTACAGAGGCTGTCCGCCAGCGTACAGTACGCATCCAGACGACACAGTACAGAGGCTGACCGCCAGCGTACAGTACGCATCCAGACGACACAGTACAGAGGCTGACCGCCAGCGTACAGTACGCATCCAGACGGATCGGAACTTGCCACCCCATCAGCGTTTGCATCGCGCGCTTGGTGGGAACTGTATGGTGGCGCCAGTATCCACCCTCTCCCTGGTCCATCACCGTCCGTACCGCCCCCTCCCCACTCTCCCCCCTGATTCATATCCGAACTGCCTCCTACTCCATCCTTCCGTGTCTACACTCCCTGCCCATCGCCATCACAGCCCGAGCGCTACGTCCCTCACCATCAGAACCCAAGCGCCACGTCCCTCGCCATCAGAGCCCAAACGCCACATCCCTCGCCATCAGAGCCCAAGCGCCAGGTCCTTCGCCATCACAGCCCAAGCGCCACGCCCTCGCCATCACAGCCCAAGCGTCATGTGCCTGGCCGGCCGCGCCCACACGTCCTGTCGGCGGCCGCGCGGTGGCCGTCTGCGGGGGCTGCGCACGCAGGTCCGGTCGGCGCCGCCGGCTCCGGAGCAGCGGCGGACGGCGAGGCGTGGCGCGGTGCGGCGCGGCGTCCGCCGGCAGCACCGGACACGCTGGCCGGCGCACGGCAAAGAAGTCGGGCCGGCGCCGGCGCCGGCGCCCGTCTCAAGGCGTCCTAACACGGACACGACCAACGTATCTTCCCCAGATCTTGGAAACTCCGATATCCCGTAGTCTAGAATAAACGCAGACACCCAAACGGGTTCGGAGCCCATCCTATATCTAGCAAGCAACATTAATAGACCCGGTGCCGCCCAAGCGGTGTTGGTCGGCGACTAATGCAGCTGGCTGAAGTTGGAAGCCGGTTTACTCCGCGATACACCGACGGGCAGATCATGAGATAGGAGTCGGCCACACACCTGCACTTTCCGTCTGCGTTTTGCGCGACGCAGTCAACGTCATTTGCTGCAAACCCTCTGTACATCAAACCGAACACAATTTTGTGACATCCATCGTCCCGGGCTTGAAGAAATATACATTCTCGGAGCTGATTTGCTAGGTCTCACATCACACTTATCACCAAGATCCGCTCGCCACGGGCGGTGGTTGTCCTACCGTCACATCAAGTCTATAACGCGTTTGCACCATGCAACATGGCCGTGATCACGCAGCCTGATAGCAAGGCTCACTTTAACCTTGAACGTCGATGGCGGATTAGGCTGGAGTGCCGAAGGATAACTCCAGTGCGCCTCGCCCCGGGGGGCAGACGTCAGACATCCGTGTGGGTGTACAGCCGAAGGCGTCTGCTGACGTGCGAGGGTTGGGAGGGCGCGTCAAGACGCCGGCGGGCCTGCCCCGGCACCGGGGCGGCCCGGACTCCCGGACGGACGGACGGACGGACGGACGGACGGACGGCGGCCGGCAGCAGCGCGCCGCCCAAGCACGGCTGACGGTAGCGCACGCCGCCGCCGTACGCTGGCACAGACGCCAAGGCGACGTTACTGGCCCAGTACCGTCTTAGATGTTGGCGCTCCCAACACCCCGACCGTCATCACCGACGCTATCGAGCCAAGGGGAGCCACCCGGATAGCCGGCCGGTGGAGGCCGACACACGCAGGCCCCGCACCAGTCCGCCCACACGGCGCAGAGGACCGTCTCCGCGCGGCCCTATCACAACAACTTCCCAAGGACGTTGAAGCTGATGCGGGTCATAAAGAACACGAACGATTAACGGATAATACAATTTTTAACAGGATAGAAGTCTATAGATCACGAAACTGATCAGGGTTCTGCTTCGGCCCCGGTCGGCCTCCTTGGCGTCTCAACAGCTCGTGCCATGTCAGCCGCCGTCTGCTGGGAGCGGCACCGGTCGGCGCGGGGACAGCGGGCCAGCAGAGGATGGTAGGCCGGGGGGGGGGGGGGGGGCAGCGGGCCAGCGGAGGATAGACCAGGTGAGGAACATTGGGCCAGGGGGGGACACCGAGTCGGCGGGGTGGTAAAACCGGGCCGGCGGGGGACATCGGGCCGGCGGGGGGGGGGGGGGGGGCATGGCGCTGGGCGGGGAGACACCGGGGCGGCAGAGAGACAGCGAGCTGGCAGCGGGGGGGGGGGGGGGACATAGAGCCGGCGTCGGGCCGACATGGGCAGCTCCCTCCACTGCTGCAGCCGTCGCCGCCGCCCGTCGCCGCCGTCGCCGTCGCCGCCGCCGCCGCCGCCACGCTCGCCGCCGCCGCTGGCTGGCAGCCGGCGGCGCCCAGCCTGCCGCTGCCAGCGATGGCGGCTACCCCGGGCGGCGGCTGACAGGCGCGCGTTACCGGCCGTCGCCAGCAGACGTCAAGTCGACAGCCGGTCCCGTCTCACCGGCGCCTCTGGCCACGGCCGGACTACCCTCTTTCGCTGAGCGGAGCGGCGCAGCACGGTGTGCGAGGCGGGCCCCGCCTGGCGCGCACGGTCATCGCGACTCGCTGCCGGCATCCCGGCACGCAAGACGACTACCATTGAGCTGCTCCACGCCATCTTCTAGGGACTCAAAGGACAGGAAGTTACTCAGCTGGCACTAGCCATCCGAGAGCCTGAATCATAGCCCGCCGTCTGCCCGCAAACAGAGTGGGAGACCAGGACGCAGGCTCAACCCCGATGCGTCACGTGCACGGCCGTGATCACGCCCGCTGATTGATTGTTTGGGGCTACCGGCGATGAACGACGATGTCACGGCCACTCGCCAAAGCGTCCGCCGCACCGAAATGGCCGCGTGCCCACGCGCAATATTGCACACCGCCAGTCATTAGGATTACGGATATCTGAAGAGGAAACAGGTAACACGATACCCGAGGACGGTCACCTGCACCGGTCGTCTGGAGGAAAACCGGGCCCACCCACTCGACACCACCGATCCCTGATGAGTCACGCAGCGCGGCGGTCGCCGAGCTCGGCGCGCGGCAGGGCGCTGGCCCATCCGCTCGCCCCGCGTGGAGCCCCTCCCCCGCCGCTGGGGCGCGGCGCGTGCTCCCGGCGGCGCCCACGCCCAGCTCCGCGCCCGACACTCACCGAACTCGAGGAAGTCGGAGACGGTCTTCTCGCGGCGCAGGCTCGAGTTGGCGCACTCGTCGAACAGCACGACCAGCACGTCGAGCAGCGTCTCGGCCGAGAACATGTGTCCGTCGGAGCGGCCGGCGCCGCCCAGCACCAGCCGCTCCAGCTGGCGCAGCCGCGCCTCGGGCCCGGCGCCCGCCGCCTCCGCCGCGTTCATGGCCGCCGCGCGCCTCAGCGGCACATCTGGCTGCTGGCCGGGCGGCGGCGTGCTCACATGCCGGCCCGCTCAGCGGCCGGGCCGCACAGCCTCCTGCAGGTACGGCCACAGCGTCAGCCGGCCGGCCCGGTGCCGCGCCGCGCCTCGCCCGCGCCGTGGATCAACGCTGCTGCACGTTTCACCAGGGACGCAAGCTAATACAGGCATGCTCCCACTCTGTGAAGAGGCTTCACAGTGCCTTCCAGTGGCATCAAGATTTGTGGCTATGGTGTCTATTGGTTTAAAACTTATCACAGCCATAAGCTAACGCACAACTCTCAATAAGACTGTTCACAATAATCTTGTTCAGTTATCTAGCAAGAGATCTTTATGACAACATGCTTCACATTTACTCAACAATGGTTAAAACTCATGGGTTCATGGGGTCAGCCAACAATTTTGAATCAAGAAAAGCTTTCAGAACAGCTTTAGTTTTGTTAACAAGTTGCAAATCATTCCTTTGACCAAATATATTTTGCCACAGGGACAGCATTCAAAGGTGCAGGAGAGGTTGGCATAACCACAGCTACAGACCATGTTGATAGGCAAAAGAGAACTAGGATGCCAGCACCGAAATCCAAGTCACATTACACCAGCCATACATGTCACAAACAATGCTTGGAAAATGAAGTACCATCAAGAGTATGGTCTACTTGAAAAATACAACATTACGGAATTGCATCACCTCGGTTCTCAAGGAGCACAGAGGGTCAAACAAGCAAAAAAGTGACACAAGGCCCAAGATGTGTCCAAGATAAGAGCAACATGCATTGCTGTAACCCACCAACAGGCTATATAAGTTAGTGCCTGACTACCTGCTTAGCATAAAGCCCATACAAAATACTAGGAAGCAAAATTGAATAAAACAATAACCACTTCAACAGGACAAAATAGTCAGGATTCAAACATGATTATGTGGTATCCAAATCAGTGATGCCATGGACATGCAAGCACGTCATACCATGCATTGAAACAAGATATGGCCTCTGTTTTATGCATAAGTAAATGATAGATTGTTTGGGATATTAAACTTTGGTAGCATGATACAATGAGCATTGGAAATGCACTGCTGTCTCTTGGTTGAAGAGCACAAATCCTTTAAGATGACAACCACTAAGTTGTTTCTACAAAGGAAGAGCACTGTTGGTTTTTGGCAAAGCATACATTGCCTTTCTGCTACAACATAATCTGGATAGTGCAAAAGTTCAGTGCATCGTACAAAATATCTTGACATGTTCCTACTTGCAAGCATTGTATTCTGGGGTCATCATTGTACTAAATACAGAACTTTACTCTCCAGCACTACCTTAGGTACAGAAAAACTATTGTACCCATCACAGAGTATGGAGGGTTTGACTCATTTCATCTCATCATAATAGAGCTACAGCACTTGTTCAGGCCCAAAATGCTTCTGAAGATAATTCTAAGACCCTGGTCTCATCACTGATTAAACCAAAGCCCAATAAGAAAAGAGAAAACTTGAAGTCAATCATGGATTAAAGTAAAAAGGTGCTTCATATAGGGCAGATAAAGAAAGGTTTGGTACTATAAAGAAGCAAAACATTTTTTGTCCTTCACAGGTATGACCCTTAAGTGTACAAAAAGTTGGCACTATTTTCAAGAATTTCTTCCATCAGCAATGTGTATATCTGATAATGCTATCCTTAGATTACTGCTCAACAAACCATCTAGAACAAATCCTCAACATGCTTTGAAAATATTATTAACTGTTATGCAGTGCAAAAACCTAGCATTTTGAAATGCACTCTATTCAGTAACCATGTTTAACTAGGCCTCCATGAACATCAGCAATACAATTATGCACATGACCAACAGAAATCGCATTGATAATGGACCTGTGGTTGACATTAAAAAAATGCAGCTACCAGATCAAACCCATGCCAATTTCATGGTTATCTAACCAGCTAAGGCATGCAAATAAGACATACTAACATGTTAATGCACAAAATAAGACCAGCCAACATGCATATATTGAACAGGTATTTGCTTATAGGCTAGCAAATTTGGTTTACAGAATGAGCAACTTTTCTAGGCTAACACACATAAGACCTGGCTACACATTAAGGGTATGAAATCAAATTTCAAAAATAAACAGGTAGGCAAGTTGGTTCCATCAAAGGAATAGTATTAATTAAACTTAGTTGCATGCAAATCATAAACAATAGGTGTTAGTCAAGATCATGATCTGACCTCAGATGACCGACGGAATATCCATGGCCTTGCATTAATGACATGGAATTGTATGCATTAAGACCACAGGTAAGACCGATAGGAGAAAATTTATCACCACATTTAGTCTACAGCAAGCACTCTTCCGGTCAGTATCATAAGCCGAAGTCCGCGAAGATGGCTGCCACACCTCAGTTTTTGTGGCTTCCCACCAGTCGAACAACAAGATTCGCAGAGGGCACAAAGACATCCCAATGAGCAGGCAATGACTTACCAGGTCACAAATCATGAAGACAAGAAATCCAGTAAGTTCCAGTCCAGAAAACACGTATGTCAATTTAACACCACTGCGGCACCATCCCATCCGCTTCCAACGCGAATCTGATGGCCTCGGGCGAATTTCGTGTCGACGACGCTCTAGAAGGAAAATACACTCATGCTGCCATCTACTGGCTTTTTAACAGAGCTGTAGTAGTTGGGTCTTGATATAGAGACAAGCGCAGTTCTGTCTCAAGACTGCGAAAATCGAAGAACGTCATTGCTCTCGTCTTCCTTCTTAGGAAAAGCGATACTGGCTTGGTAAAAATCTTGCCAGGAAAACAGGTAGCAAGAAAGACAAGCACGCCAACTCTGTGCATGCCTTCCGCTGCTCAATATGCTTCGCGCCTTAAAATCCCGATCATCATCTCAGTATGCTTCGGTGCAATGCGTGAAAGGTCTTTACTAGAAATTGATACCAGTGTTGCAGGACTGCAACATGGCTCTTATTTTCCTCCTACTAAGACGCACTTCAGCTCGGTATCTGAGCCAGTGTGTCCTGGAGAAGAGAAGAGGCATATCAGCTGCTTACACAATATCCCTGAGATGCTCAGACTCCTTCAGTTGGCCTCACTGCACTATCGTCGTCGCAGGGGAGACATGGTAACAGTGTACCAGCTGTTTCACGGAGGCATGTCGCTATCAGAAGAGGAGTTCCTGACAAGGCACAACTCGGAGGTGACGAGAGGTCACCAATGGAAGCTCAGAAAACCTCGAGCTAGGACTCTCGTCCGTCGCAACTCATTCAGCACGCGAGTTGTCAACGACTGGAACGCTCTTCCACACCCGGTCGTGTCGTCAACCTCAGTTGAACAGTTCAAGGCTAGGCTTGATACGCACTGGGCTGACATCATGGACGACGTCCCACACTGAATCTTCCCATGATTTGAGACTGTTTGGTTACCGGACCGGGAGCCTGAGGAGACCGGGGCCTACAGGCCTAGTGGCCTTTTACAATTCCCGATCACCATAAGGTAAGGTAAGGTAAGGTAAGATTTTACGCTGGGAGGAGACGGGCATAACTCGAAGTTTTTCGCCATAACCCAGCGTGAATGCAGGCATGCAGGATTTGAACATGCCGTAGTAAAACAACGATGCATTTTCTGCATCTTTTGATCTGCTTGTGCCTATCTGGCAGGGGTGCGGCCAGGAATTTTTAAGAGGGAAACCAGGAGTTTTTTGACAATGTATCACGTCCATCTCTAACCCGCGCCCGGCCCGGGGTCTGAGACAACCAGTCCCGGCCGGGGGGGGGGGGGGGGGGAACTGACTTCCCCTGGGATCTCCAACTTCCAAATGCCGTACCAGAAAAAAGAGATACCGTTGTGAATGGTCTCAAAACATGAAGAATGCAGTCCAAATGTTTGACCTTTGGCAAAATTTAAGGTCACAAGAGGTCGCCAAAGGCTAAAAACGGTCGTTCTGATAAATTAAGTTAAAACATATGTCAACACATCAGACGGACATTAAGGACACAAAAGCAAGCCTTAAGACTTGGGAGATCATTCCGACTACTTCTGTTCCTGCCATAAGGATCAGCTCAGATCAGATCACCGTTCAAAACTAGTCTACCAGAAGCCTGCAAAAACGATGGTTTTTGTTTTCTTTCGCAATGTGCCTGTGACTGAATTTGTTTTATTGCGTGCAGCTGTGAGGCAAAAGTATCCAAGCCACCTAAATATCCTTTTAGGTTGACGTCAAAATCGGTTGAGGTAAGCTCGGGTCAATTTTATATACCATCTAAATGAAAACAAGTGCTCATCGAATCTTAGCGACCAGCAGAATGTTTCTCTGCGGTCGTCAGGGGCAATGCAATAGTTATCTACAGGTACTCAAGGTTGCATACCTGTTGCATACATTATGCATAGTCCTTTCAACGCCTGATAATGCATTTGCAGCTAACTGAAATAGGCACGTTGGTACATGAAATTAAACGTAATCAGCTTCACAGACACGATAAAAGAGTGGTTAACGCGTCGCGCTCGTTCACTTAGCCCCCTCATTGCTCACAACAGAGGTCATTGACCTTGGATGACCTCATGCGACCTTGCAAACCCTTGCGTGACCTACTGTGGCCTCATTGTGAATTATAATGGCACCACAACATATTTCCAGTCGGGAATTCCAATTCTGCACCCAAAGTTGCCTCATAAAACTTATGCATTTTGCAGAAGGCAAAATGGTCATTACCTGGGCCAAGCTCATGTCCTCTGTGGTCGTATGATGGTTGTGCGTTTGAGCTAGTTCTTTCTTCCTCACTGTAGTAGAAAAAGGTAGGCTCTTCGCTTTACGTCAGTATTTGTTCAATGATATTACGACCTTCACCTCCACCTCTGCCTTCCCTTCTATTAAAACCCCCTCACCAATGCCCGCTCCCAACTTTTCGGGTTTTGCGCCAAACGGGGGGGCCTCGACCTTCATTCGCCATATCGACACAAAAGTCGTACTGTTTCAGTTTTCATCTCGCGCGCATTACCACAATAGCATAC